CTTTTGGGTGATTGGCTGCAGTCAAATCTGCAGCCAAACGCTTGAAATGTAGTCATCAATTTTAATGCCAAGTCGCCTGCGATTGCCACCAGTCACAAATTGAATTCAAATTCAAGTTTCAACTATGCAAACTACACTTTTTTACTTTATTGTAAAACATTTTTTATGAGCTTAGTGCTTGCATAGTCAATATTATTCCAGAATTGTTTGCTTTATTCATTTAATTATTTATTTATTAAATTATTTTTGACAAATAAAATTAGGTTCAATTACGGAATAATTATATTTAGCATCTAAAATGCAGGTTATGTTGTGTAAAGCATAAAAGCTAAGAGGATATAATGAAGCAACAGATTGAATGGATATCTCATTTAATCATATTTAAATCTATATTTTAATATAAACAGGCAATGTTTACATTGTTTGACCTTCGAAAATGATAAATATTCACCGGCCAAACTACATTAAAGTTTATTTATAAAAATTAAATTATATTAAATTAAATTTAATTCTTGTTGCATGCATCAGTTGCAATTTTTTAAGTGTGTGTGTGGGGGAAAAATTGCGAAGGCAGCTTCGAAAAGGGGTTAAGCTACAGTCCAAGATAAACAGAGAGCGACCACAAAACGCAAGCCACACACGTACTCATACACACACACACACACACGCACACTCAATACACACATAAGAGCTGAGAATGTGTCTCTGTCAGGCAGTTATCGCTGAATTATGCGGGCTCTTCGCAGAAAAGTAAACGAAAGGGTGAGCCTGGGATAACCCAAGTAGTGAGTACGTTTAGCCGTAGCCACAAGTACACACATACATACACGCACACACACGTACGCACACAAGCACACATTGAAATGGTAAATGACACAGAGAAATTCAATGTCAAAGCGTTGGCGCACAAAAGAACGCTACGATATGTGGCGAAGAAACTGAAGCAAGGCTGAGACCGAACGGACACGGACAGTAGCCAGTTGCGTCAATGGTGATGATGACAATGATGATGGCAGCCAGACAGACACACACACACACGCGCGCACTGAAACACACACACAGTATCACACAACTAAATGTGTAAAAGTTTGATTTGCAGCCGGAGAAAGGACGAAGGAAATGGTCTACATGGAAAAAAGATGTTGAAATATATGAGGAAAAGCAAGCAAAATGTTTTTTTTTTGCGTTGCTGCGGAAACGGAAATAGAATTATAAAAGCCAAGCTAAAGACGTTTACACACCATACAAAAAGCAAATGGCAACTCAAGGGGTGGAGCCAGAGAGCGGACCAGGGGAGCGGAGGAGCGGAGACAGGCCAGACACACACGCACACACACACACACATGCCAGGCAGATAAGAAAACTGTTTGCCAAAGGCTTAAAGCTGTCTATGTGTGAGTGCGTGTGCGTGTGAGTGGGGGAAACTTTTTGCCAAGTTCGTTGGGGTACAAATTTATGAACAGACAACCACAAAACTGTGTGAAGGCATTGGAAAATGCCAGGGGCAAGGGGCAAGGGGCAAGGGGCTGGTTGAATCAAAAATGAAGTGCGATTTATGGTCATACAAATCAAAGTTTGGTGCTTGAGTTGATTGCTAACAATCTTTTGTATGCCAGAGTTGCTTGGATTGAAGTTTTGGGGGGCGGGCAAGGAGACATTTTTAGGCGTGGCTATGAATGGGGCTTCTGTAATATTTGACACTCGCATGGCTGACTGCAGGTGTCGCCCGAAAGAGATTTGTGGTACAAATTAGTAGAAATGCTCTGAAAAATGAGGTGATAAATTTTGCAAAGTGCGAGCAAAACTTTTGAATTGAAAAAGGGTGGGAGTGCAATGGGATTTATGAACAATTATCAAAGCTGTGGTGAAATTTTCCCCAGCTGATTTGTGTGGCAGAAACTTTTCAAACCAGCTGCCGAACACACACCCTGGCGATAATGTGAATTGCCATTCAAGTTTCCAGCGGTTTAGTTTATGAGTTGAATTTCAGGACGGACACAGGATTTGGGCTTTCGGCTTTGGTTTGGATATTTTTGGATTGGGGTCTTGTGCTCTCATGCATTTATTGAGTCACTAATTTGACTATTGTCTGCCTGCCCCAAAGGGATTGCAACTGATTTAAAGTGACACAGAATAAGCCAGGTGAAATGTTTGGGGAAGCGAAAGGATTAATTCGAATCGAAAATTTAATTCAAATATTGACGAATTGAGGCCTGTACTGTACTGAATTGAAATGTTGAAATGTACGCTGTGTTTTTGATTTAGGTAATGCGATTGATGGGTTGTTTAAGTAGCCCAAGCACTGAACAGCGAGGCTCAAGCATAGTCTAGGATGATAGCTTGGGTTGATAGTTTTAAGACATGAAAGTATTCGAAATAAGAACAATTGAACAGAGAATTAATGTAATTAATTGTTTAAGTAACCATCAAGAAATTGTGTACTCTTGTAGGGTAAGATCATAAATGACTGCTTATGAAGATTTTGTGTAATTTCTCAGCATTTATGTAGCCTCTTGATTTATCCGCTAGTAGAGCTGAAGACAGTTTTTCTACCATGTACAACTCCTTGGCAGCCCATTTAAGTTGAATCTTTGGGTAACCCGTGCGCCAGCAGCCTAACAAAGGTTACGAGTAGTTTTAACGATAGCCCGCATCACCTTGGGCCAGACCCAGACAAAGGGCCAGAGCCAGAGCCAGAGCCAAGCCCAAAACCAAACCAAAATGCGGAGCAGCCAAGCAAGTCGGCGACGCATTTGGCACGGCTAATTCAGCACAACATACGACGCATTACAGTTATAGTGGCAGGACAATCAGGACGAGAGCTGGCAGCGGGGTGGGGGGAGAGGATTTGCTACTTGAGAAATTGAATATTTCACATGTCTGTTTGAATTTTATAAGCACAGAAGGAAGCAGCCAACACAGAGCGGAAAAAGGAAGTCTACCACCAGAGAAATAGGAGATAAAAAAAAGAAAAACTGTGCGAAAAACCTAACCAGCAAACCAAATAGGAAAATTGAAAAATAAAAAAAATAAAAAATAAGAAAGGAAAAAAATAAATCGAGAGAAGCTGCTGCTGCTGCTGCTGATGCTGCTGCAGCAGCAGAAAGAGAAACGTGAAACGGCTGGGCGCCTAATTTAATATTCCTCAGTGCAGGAAATTTGTGGACAGAGGCAATAGAAAGCAGGACAGAGATAGACAGTCAAAATAGACAGAGAGGCAGACAGACAGACAGACAGTGAGTGGGGCAAGTAGACTTGGCAGCTAAGAAGCAGCTGATTGTCGGTTATGACGGAGCTGCTGATCCACCGTCTACTCAACCCCATCCGGACTCAAGATGGACAATTTAGTTTTCTAGCGTTGAGACCCTCAGACAAACGTGCAAAATAAATGATATTTTTATCACACACATGCACACACAGATACCCACACACACACGCACACACTGGCACTTGGCCAGAGCAGAGCACTAAATGAAGCGTAAATTTCAAATTATGTTATAGGCTTTTAGGCCGATAAGTAAATTGCATTTTATTTTATTTTTTTTTTTTCTGAGACACTTCAAGCATGTGTAATTGTGTGTGTTTGTTGTGAATACAATCTGTTGTTATATTTGGGAGCGAGCATATTTTATACAGTTTTTTGGCCGTTGAATGTGCTCGAACTATTCTTAATATTTTTATAGTGTTATACACAAGTTGAGAGTGCAAGAGAGAGAGAGAGAGAGAGAGAGAGAGAGAGAGAGAGAGATATGGAGAAAGAGAGAGAGAGAGAGAGAGAGTAAGGGGGAGAGAGAGAGAAAGAGAGAGAAAGAGAGAGAGAGAGTAAGGGGGAAAGAGAGTAAGCTATGCTTTGGTTTATCCTTCTTACTGTGACCTTAAATATAGTTTTTCCTTCTATTGAATATATATATATGTATAATTCATTGAAATTGTATTTACTAGTTCAAAGAGGTAAAACAGTTTTCAAATTGTTAAGAACTTACCGAATAACATATTTCTCAGACAACAGATAAAATGGTTATGATAACTTTGACATCAATCTGTAAAAAGAATATTTTATCAAATTTTCCGCAAACATTTCTTGAAAAAAACTCTCACACAGCATCTATCGATTGACTAGAAAATCGCACACACAAGGTCTATTGAACTATTAAGAAGTAAGAAGCAGTATTGGGCAATATTAAGAAATAAACAAATAAAACAAATATAATTGTAATCTATAAAACTTAACTTCCGCTCCCATATGCCTTAACACCACCCATGGACAACAAATCAAAGAACATATTTGCTTTGCATAATTTGTGGGCACGGACACAGCAAACGAATCGCAAAACCGCAAAATCGAAGCACAGATCCCATAAATAAATCAATGCTAAAAATAAAAGAGAATATGTTAAGCCATTATGTAAACATTTAAATTTACATGCCACTGACTTTGAGGAGGGGCAAACGAGAGAGAGAGAGAGAAAAAAAAATAATATTTATGGTCTACTTAAAGGCTTACTTAGGCGCCGTAGCCGCTTTTAGGGCCACTCTAATTTCAATTTTCAAATTTGCATTGCTCTTTGAGCCACTGTTCAACACTGGTTGCCATGCAAATTGAATCATTTTTTTTTGTTCATTTCAACAGCAACTCAATTTTGCCATGGCGACCCATTCAAAAAAATGAATGCCGTGTGTGTGTTTGTGGGAGTGTGTGTGTGTTTGTGTGTCTTGAAGGTGTTCTGGCTGGCAAAAAGTGTCGTTCTTTTGAATTTATGATACTAAACACACAACACGCATTGTGCCCGAGGTTGAATAGCGACTTTATTCATATGGCTGCCCGCCTACCCAAAACATGTACATTTGAATAGCCTTGTGATTGTGTGCGTGTGTGTGTGTGTGTATGTGCTGAGCTCTTGAGTTCACCGATGTTCCTTTTGACTTTGTGCTGCACTTTTGCTGCCTCGCTTTATGTATAGTAAAATTAATTTCTTATTTTGATATTTACCTTCTTGCAGATCGTACCATCAGCGAGCATGAGAACAAAAACGTGGTGCTGCCATGTCCGGTGAATGAGCAAAAATGCGGGAAACTGCATTCATTGAACTGGTTCAAGGGCGATGATCGGATTGCTGCAATGCTGCTGGGCGATAGCAATGTCACGAGTGTGAACGATGAATTTAAAAACAGGTGAGTCAAGCAGAAGATGCGTGAAAGCAATGCTGAAAAGAGAATTATTTGTTAAATTAAATTACAATAATTAATTGATATATATTTTGTGACGCTTGCAGAGTAACTGTTGAGCAAAATCCATACAGATTAGTTATTAAGGATTTGAGAATATCTGATGAGGATATCTATCTATGTGATACAACATTTTTTATACCAGAAGAAACGTGTGATAACTTCAATGGCTATCGTGTCGAATTAAGAGTCTTAGGTAAGTTACCACCCGAACCTCGTGCCACTTGATTTTGCATGCTGCCATCTTCTACTCAGCCTAACAATTCGCTTAACAGCTCTTTTTAATTTGCGTATACTTATGGATTTTTCTGTTAAAGTATAACTTGTAAATGCTTTTGTATTCAGTTTGCTTAAAATAACAATTAACTGCTAAACTAACCTGTAAAAACTCATATCATAAGAAATATACGTGTTTGTGCATGGGATATGTTTGGAGCTTGCTATAAAAAACAACGGGCGGAAGAAGTGGGATATCTGCAAGGATGTTGCATGTTTGAGGAGCGAGAGATCTGGTCGCATATAATGCTTACTGTGTTTGTCCCATAAAGAGCATTGCTTTTGAAAATTCTGCTTAAATATCTACACCATCAGAATGGAAATGCAATCAATCAAATGTGTTCCTTATGCTCAAATATAAGGTATTTGCCTTCTATTCGCGAGCTTAAATATAAATATCAATTCCCATTTGGTTTGATATTTTCAGAAATATTTTTGTTAAACCTGTATTTAATTTCATACAATATTTCGTTGAATATATGCAAAAATTTGGAACTGCAATTCAGCAAATATTTTTCGACAATTTACAATTCAAAATTCGTAACCCAAATTGCTAAATCGATTGCATTTTCACTTTGACTTTATTTCAATGCAAGTGAAAAATATAAAAAAAATATGTTTTTGTTTTTTTTTTTTTGGAATGCCTTTTGCTGCCTGCCTTTACACGCCAAACATTCTGTTGTATATATGTACATAAATGAATGTAAAACTCAAATAAAAAACTTTATTTATTAGTATATATATATATCAAAGTGTACATCCCTTGCAAAGTGCAAATCGAAAACTTTACTTTTAACCGCTCTACTCTTTTACCATAACATTTGAACGTGTCAAAACTCATGCAAATATTTTCTCTTAACTGATTGTCCCACAAAAACATAAAAAAAAAAAATAAATCTATATCCAAAAAATCGCATACAAACGCTCGTCCACATCGACATGGAATTTCTATATATACATGCGACATATTCATATATATGAATATATATATATATGCATTGCTATCAAAAACTCAAACAAATTCGCTCCACCAAAACTAAAACTAACAAAACAAAAAATACTAAAAAATCAATACATGACAACTACTGCAAAAACATAAAATAACCAAAAAAAAAAAACGAAAAACTAAATCAAACTCCACACCACATCTCTTCCGTTCACAATCGCCCCCCTTTTCAAACGTGTGCACTCACCAACAAAATTGTTTTTTATATACATACGTATTTCAAAACTGTATTGAACTGTGCCCCACAAAAAAAACCAAATTAAAAAAAAAAACAAACCATAAACTGATGTGAAACTCAACCTAAAAATAATTTTAACTTCCAAAATAACGCTTTAAATTAAATTTGATTTCTTAAAAACGTCAAATCAAAACCAAAACCAAACGTTTTTGGCTATGCATTAAAAATAAAACTACGCAAAACTAAACGTAGAAAACCTTGGTAAATTTAACTTATAATAAACATAATTTTTAGTTCAATTTTCTTATAATTTTTAATTCAGTTGACTGGCAAGAGAAAACCAATTTTTAATTTTCCTAAGTTTTTTTAGAAGAACGAGAATGTGGTGCTGATTTTATTTTATTTAAAAGTTTTTTAAAAAACTTAGTTAAAGAATATTTTTTACCTATTCCTTATTATATTCAGTTTTACTTTAAGAAATCGGTTCCTTTAATTTTTCATTTCATTAAAAAACTATTTTCACTCATTTCTTAAAATTTAGTATTTAACTTCATTTTCATTTCAAATTTATTGCTCTTAGCCAATTATAATTTCGATTCTAATTTATTATAATTTGTGCTAATAATATTTTATATACAATGCAAATCAAATATGATTTATTAAAAACACATATTCAACATTTTTACCTCCCGAAAAAAATGTAAAAAAAATGCAAAAAAAAAAAAATGATTTGAACTACGCACAAACAAACACATGTACACATACACTTACACAACATCGATATATACACACACACACGCACACACACAAACATCACACAACATGTCGTTGGATGTTGGATGTACAGTGCCACCCACAGAGGTTGTGATTTTGGACGCAAAGGGCGACCGCATCGAGAATGGAAGCATCGTCGGACCCATGCAGGAGCGGCAGAGCCTCAAGGCGACCTGTACGGTGAAGAACACACGGCCCCAACCCGATGTGGGCTGGTGGCGTGGCACCAAACGCCTGGCAACATGTGAGTATTGCTCCCAGCTCTCAACTATGTTCCAAAGGTAGCAAATCGCATAAAGGTTTGCTTTTCTTTCTTTTTTTTTTTGCCAGGCAGTCATAAAAACTGTTGAAGCGCGTTTATTGATTCCCAAAAGCTTGAAGGCGGGGTAGTAGGGTTGGGATTGGGGTCCTAAGCAGCCAATTTGATGCATAAGCCCACCAAGTTGAAGGAGTCGAATTCAGAGTCGGGTTTACGATGCGCCACAAAGTTTATGCAGTGACTGACGACCGAGGTCATAAAGTCCAAGTCCAGGCCACGGAAGGATTTGGCTGCTTATCAGTGTCAGTTTTTTTGGCCCTATATAGCATAGGCAAATGCCCAGCCGCGCCCACAGCAGCCCATAAAATGCTATGCCCTTTTATTGTAAAGCATAAAAATAAACTTTCAGGCGATTTTCATTAAATTTTTAAGAGCCTTAGCTCCATGCTCCCAACCAACAGCCACCACAAGGCTAAAGCCCCGCCAGCGAAATTAATTGATTTCTATTTTAAAAGCCAAGGCATCCATTACATTAGCTAAAGCAGAATTTAAAACAAGCACCCGGAACATTTCAGAAATTTTGGTTTACCATTTGCCGGCCTTGAAAAGCACTTTAAGTAATTTTTATGGCCAAAATCCCGAAAATATTCCAGCAATTTGCAACGGAAACAAACAACACCAGCTACAAGGCGGCAACATTTTCCCTCCTTTTTATTTTGTGTTTTTCCTCATTTCGTTTTTTTTTTGTTTTGTGCGGCTTCTAATTGGCCTTCGGTCTGTGGCTTGCAACCCTTTTGTCTAAGCGGCCGCAAGTCTAACCCCAATCTTTGATTCCAGGCGAAATTTTATTTATTTTTGGTTTTATGAGCCCTTTGCTTATCATAATTGCCTGTAATTAGGAACATGTTGATGAGTAGAGAACACCTGGAAAATATGAAATGTGAAATCTAGCAATTACTTAAGTTGTATTCGGATGTCAGCCTTTTCTTCCATGGGAGTTTAAAATATTTAATAAATGTTTTGTTATCCTTTGCACAGATTCGCCCACTCATGATCTTAACGACGGCCTCTATACATCCACACTGGAACTGGATTGGCAATTATCACGTGAGGATCTGGCAACGGATATTGAATGTCGCGTCGAATCGGCGGCTATAAAGAATGCAATTGTTACCAAATTTGCCGTCGATTTGCAAGGTGAGTCATCATTACGACCATTACGCTGAACGATAAACTTAAGCCAAAGACCCCAATCCCAATTGGGATGACTCAACTGCCTATCATAAAAGCCAGCCAGCAATGAGTCAGCCATAGAAGATAGATTGGCTTGAATACGACATATTTATGTAGGTGTGCTTAGTTAAATGACCAGCATAGTAAAAAGGGCACGTTTTATGACTTTGTTTTTAAGTTGATAATGCATAAAATAGTTTGAAGCAAAGTATTTTAAGAGTAAACTTAAAGTAGGAAGTATCAAGAGTATCTACAGAAATTCAAAGGAAAAGTAACCGAAAAAAAATATTATTCAATTTTATATATTTATGCACAATTGAAATAATATAAATTATAATAAATTAAAAAAAATAATTTAAATGATTTTTGCAATCCTTTACCAAGGAAATTTATATATTATTTTTATAATAATTATTAATTGAACTTTATTTTATCATAAAGTATCCCATACATTACTTTGCGCAAAACGATTTAACAATTTAAGTCCAATTGACTAATTACAGCTTAAAGCTGAAAACTTTTTCGAATTTTAAGCATTTGTTTAACTGCATTAATTAACGTAAATTAAAAAGCGTAATAAATTTGCCAGAAAAACAACAAAAGCGACAACATTCACGCGACATTTTGACATGTTTCAGGTTCATTAAACCAAAAAGACCCCAAACGAACCCTTCTAATTACAACAAAAACAACAATAACAGAATCCCTTAGGCGCCTGAGAGCCTTTTGAAAGTCATGCAAATAAATTTTTTCTAATTAAAAGCCAACAATATCAAGTGACATTTTTCCCAGTTTCTTCTTGAATTTTATTTATTTTTTTTTCCTTGAAATTGACGAATGATTTGACATTTTTGCTGGAGCAATTAATGAATGTCATTAAATATAACATAAAACTAAGCCAACTAAGCCAAGTTTTTCATTTACAAAGTGGGCACAGCCAATTGATTGATGGCCAACTGCCGCCCATACCATGCCCCAAGCCTTAAAACATTTACCAATCAATTGAAAATGTAGGAAATGGAAGTTCATATATGCCGTAGGCAGAGCTCTCCAAAAGGCAGCCAGCCAGCCAGGCAGCCAGCCCGCCCGCATGCAAATTGCCATTATTAATGTTTTATATTATGGATAAAAGGAGCAGTGGAAGGAGAGCTAGGCAAGCGAGCTGTAGACATACCCAGACAAAAGCCAATTACAAGTCGAGCATTTTAAGCAATTTTCTAACAGCCACCCAAACTGCTTTCTTTTCCATTTCCACAGTGCGACCCACGAGCATAGACATCAACGGAGTGGAACATCATACGGTGCAGGGCAACAAAGTGGTGCTAACATGTAACGTAAGTATTGGCTGAACTTTTCTATTAAATGAAATCCTGATTCACGGGGCGCGTGGCGCAGAAGATCGTGCGATCTGGTCAATCAACTGCCAGATAGTGCACTGTATGTTTCAGAGAATCAATAAGATATTATATTCCTCTGAAAAATTTTCAAATGCAACTTAAATCTACAGAAAGATAGACAAGTATTTCATTAAAATATATTTAAAATATCTCGAAATTCAGAGTTTGTACTCAAAAATCGCAAGTTTCAGATTCATTTAAGAGAATAACTCTATTTAGAAAGCAGTTTACCTGGAAACGTTTTTTAAATATATTTCAAGAAAGGAAGATTTAGAGAAACATTCATCCGACGGACAATTTATTCTTATAATCATCTGATTATTTAAGGCTGTTCCCAAAATACTAATAACATTTGAGACTCCTTTTCATTCATATTTAATTAAATAGAATTTGAATGTCTCTCTTCTTCTTGAGTCCCAAAAATTTTGCTTCAATAACAATCCCTTAAAAAAACTAGAATAGAATTGGAATTTTTGACCACGATAAGCTGCACTGCATATCAGGCTGCTTTCATGCCCACGTCCACATTCTCGGCCTCGTCCTCGATCTCGTTCTCGTACTCGTCCTTTATCGTTGCCGTCCGAGTAATTGACAATAATTAACTGTCAATTATTTTGCGATTTTTCGTCGACGTTGAGGTTCGACATGTGTAGGTGTGGGGCTCTATGCAACTGGCCATTAAACGGGCCGAGTCCTAGCACATTCTGAGCATTCTACATAGTCAACGACAATGCCTTGTCATTTGCTTGGGCCTCTGTCTGTCTTGTGCCAGTTGCCAGTTGCCAGTTGCGATTGCATTTTAATGGAAAAGCGCTCAATTGGCTGCAGTTTAGCAGCACTTTCAGCGCAAGGACCTGCTTCGTGTGCACTGTAAAATTATGCAAAATTGTCTATTGATTGCGTATTATGTTTAATGGAATTTTATGCAATTGTTTTACTGCCTGCCCGCCTTGTCAGGTATGTTGCCTGAAACTGTTGGCTAATGGATATATGTATGCATATGAATATGTGCACTTGCTAATGGAAATTTAATGGCAATTCCGCCATCTCACAGCCAGCCGCCCGTGCAGACAATAATATAACTCATACGACCCACTGGATGAATATAGGATATCTGATTGTGTTCACTTTATTTTTGACAGATACACGGCGCTCGGCCCGCAGTCAACCTGACCTGGTATAATACAACTTCTGTTGTTAGTGGCGAGGAGAACGATCTCACTGAGATACGCACCAAGGCTGTAAGTTGCGTATTTATTCACAAAATGTATCTCAACTCATTTGATTTGCTTCGACAGTTTGAAAAGGAGGATGGCACTTATCACACCCAGTCTGAATTGATGTTCAATGCGACACGGTTTGAAAATGATCGCGTCTTTCGCTGTGAGGCCGAAAATATTGTTCTGCAAATCAATCGCGAGAAGCCAATGGCCGCAGCCCTCACATTGGAAGTAATGTGTAAGTATATGCTTAAGATAAATGATATGCCAGGGTGGAAGAAAACAGGATCTTCGGTTATAAGGGTTACTGTTTAATTGTCAAATAATGGATTGGGAATCAGTTGACTTCAACGTAGCTAAAATATTTGAAAGAATTTCTGTTCCCAGTCAAAAAGAAGTTAATTTCATTTATTTTAACCACTTTTGTTGCCAGTCTGATATTTAAAAGCTGGAGCAATGCCTTAAATACTTGAAATTATTTCAAAAAGAATTTATGTATTTGATTTTCTTTCAGCCAACTTTTATCTACATCTAACCCAATAAAATGATATTTTTAGTTGCCAATTTAACACTATCTTTTTTCTATCTTCCCTTTACACACAGATCCGCCTGTCGTCAAGGTCAGTCCACCGGAAATGGTCACAAATACCAGCGAAATTGTGCTGCTCAATTGTGAATACGTGGCAAATCCGGCCTCGCTCACGCAGGTCGTTTGGTAAGTGCTTAATCCAAAACCAAATAAAAATAAAAGGCACAAAAATTACAGAAAAATGTAACTGAAAATTGGCAAAAAAAAAAAAAAGGAAACGGAAACAAGCCAAAGTCAAAAGCGAAAAGCAAACGAATTTAAATTGCTTTTAAATTCACCACACGAAATACGCGCACATATGAAAGAGATGGCAACAGGGCGGGCAGGGGAGTATTACCAAAAAGAGATAGCAATTGGCCACAGGCAAAAACTGACGCGCTCTTTGTTGTGCTGCATTGGCGCCTGGCAAAGGTGTGTGGCAAAGCGGAGGGCACCGGTACGAACCGGAGCGGACAGGGCTGAGCCCCACGGCTACACAGCACTTTGGGTGACTTTGAAACCAGGCAACAGTCACACTCACAGGTAACAGCGTCAGGCAGCTGCAGCTACAACGGAGCAGAACTCAATTAAACTAAAATTTCTACTGTAAACAAAAATCTAATTAAAAACAAATACAAAAGTAAATAGGCAACAGAAGTTGAAATCTACGCAGCAGCAACAACAACAACAGCAAGTGCGTAAATTGGGTGCGCATGCTATTAAGGCAACAGAACACACAGACGCACTACAACACAGATACTCACACGCACACACACACACACACACACACCTACGTACAAACATCAGCGTGCAGTGCATTGCGAGGTCTCCAATGCAGCGAGCATCCATTTATCTGCCGAAAATCAAAACAAACTCGCAGTTGCGTAATACGCATGCGAATGCAGAATAGTGAGGAAAATGGTACCAGAATTCGTTGTTGTTGTGGCTGTGTACAATTAATAGGCTGTTGCATGCTGCAGCCCTGCTAAACATGGAGAAATGTTTGTGCGCAAACAATTTCACTTAAGCGTTGTTTTAGTCCAGTTGAAAAATTTCAGCCACAAAAGCAGGAATAGCAAAAGAAATTAAATATTTGATTGAAGCCAGATAGACGAGCCTTTGATATAATTTTAAACAAGCTTTCGCCGCATAAATCGAATTCATGCAAAAGAATTGGGCTTAACAGCGTAAATTTTCGGCTTAAGAAACCTGAATGAGCTTTTACCTTAATCGGTAGAAAAACAAACATGGATATATGGGTTGGAATATCAGGCTAGTTTAAGGTTTTATATTGTCTTAGTCACTGATATGGACAAATCAATAAAAATAAACAGTAATAATAATATGCAAACTACATAAAAACAATAACAACAATAAGACATAATTACATATTGTGTCCAAAATTCCAAGTAGCTTTCCACCTTGCAATGAACTGTGCACAACAACCTTTTCAGGTGTTTTCCATGCTGCTTTTATGGCAGCACTTCCCTTGCTTATTTGCTCTGTTCATTAATTCCCACTATAATGTTTTCGGGCAGTGTACCAGGCACTCTGCCAAAGACAAACAACAGGCATGCAAATCCGGCAGCAACTGCACCACGAATGCCCAAACATAAAATTGCACAATGAGAATAATGCACAATCTTTAGCTGGCATGGCAACCGACTCGCCAACGGGCAAATTAGATAGCGAGCAATGGAAACGTGGACGTGGTCGTCGACGTCGACGTGGACGAGCCAACGATGCGCTTGTGAATGGTTGTGTCTAACAAACTTGGCCAAAATACTGCGGCCGTTTGATGTGCATGCAATGCGTATGAGGCATACGGATGCTGAAAATGCAAATAGCAGTTGCAATTCCATTCATTCACAGATTTCTCCCTGTTCGACTTTAATGCTGAGAACGTATTAATTTGCCAGATGGTGGCGCGACCACGTGGCGTATGCACGATATTCACAGGGTAGTCGGCTGCAAAATCTCTACGTGGGCGTGTGTGTGTGTGCTTTGTTTGGGGATACGAGTTCAAGTTGTATAGCCTATTGATAGACAATGGCATATGGCTGAAATCAAACCTAACTCAGGCCAGTAAAATTTTGAATCAGTGTGGTTTTTGCAATTTGGAGGCAACTTAAAGAAGGGTTTTTGTAAACTTCAGTTAATTTAATTATTTTAAAATTACAAACAATTTTTGAATGCTTTAAGTGAATTAAGCTTAGTCAAAGATATCAGCTGGGAACTTCGTAACGCCTGAAACCATTTCTCTAGCTTCTCTTAAATGATCTAATCAAAATGCGAAATATATAATATAACAGAAGTCTTCAAGTAGTCTGCTTGTCTGTAAAAATCCCATGCTACAACGAGGCAATGCTTTTGTTAAATAGTGCAGAAAACTGCATTGCGTAGAGCCTGACGCTGCCTGGGGCATTAAATGTCAACGCCACACGATTTCCTAATTACACAACAACAACAGCAGCAGCTGCAGCAGCACGCGCACATGATGAATGAAGATGGAGCAAGCACTGCACAGACAACACAGACAGCCACATATATGCACGAGCTGGTGTTGAGTGTGTGTGTGTGTGTCAAGTGGCTGCATTTTACAAGCCTATTCCATGCTTGAAGTTTTCACATTTCTCTTCTCACGCTCGCTTTTCATTTGGCTTCGTTTTTTTTTCTGCGCTTTTTTGCTAATGCCAGCTGAGAAATTAAATGCACACACAAAAGTGACACAGAAAATTTATTTAGCAGGCATTTCATTTACGCCTGTCGCGCTGCCTCTCTCTTTTGTTCTCACAATCTCTCCCTCTCTCTCTATATAAATGTGTGTGTTCGTGGTGTATTGTGTGCATGGTGTGTGTGCAGCCTTTGCTCTGTGGCTAAAAATGAAAAGCTCGGCATGAAATTTAGACAGCGCAAAATTTTCGTAGCATACCTTTCGGGGCCAACATTTTTAGCCACAATTGTTGGGGCCAGGTTGCATAGCAGCTGCAAATTATATATTAATTGGATTTTAAAGGGACTTAAAGAAGTAGTTTTAAATCAAATTAAGTACTTAGCACCAGTTTCTTTAAGAATTTCTTCGCTTGACTTTTCTCATACAATTTTATTTACAATTTTGCTTCATTTAAAGATTGTCTTAGATATTTTCCAAATATTCTTTTACAAGCAACGATTAATTAAAACCTTACATATTTCCCTTTTTTACGACTTTCAATTCAGTTCAACTTTTACAACAAATTACTTTAATATATTTTCTTGCCGTGACTCATTGAAATGCTTTCTCACGTAATATAATTCAATTGATATCTACAATAATGATCTACATGAGATCAAATCGACATTGTTTTATGCGCGCTGTGATTGTTTCTATGACTCTACCTTCCATCCACTCAGCATGAAATATTTACATAAAATTAATCTTAATTTGTTGCGCCCGCCAACAATAGGCCAAGGTTGGGGCTCTGGGGCTGTTTACGAGCATTTGTCTGTTTACCCCAAAGGCAACTCGTAGACTAACAATAGGAAAGCAACCCTTAAAAGCAGCCATAGAAAGTTAGAACAAACATGCCCCAAAGACAGCATGCACACACACACACGCGCGTACCCCTCTCACAGTTTCCCAGACTTGCACATAATTTATAAATCACCACAAAAGTAATTGTAATTGTTGAATTATTTAAGCGACTGGCAATAAACCACAAAATTTGCCTCAGGCTAAGAAAATGCCAAAAAAAAAAATAAGTTGACTTTACGGCTTGTTGACGACAATGGCAAAGTTGCATGAGTGCCAGGAGCTGCTACGAACCAATTAAAAATGTCTGCCTCATGTTGCTGGGCACACACACAAACACACACACACTCACACCTCAGTATATTAATGAGTAGCAAGGGCCGTTGGCCGTATGTGAGTGAGCAGCACTTTGCCAGCTGCTTTCAAGATATAAAAATAGTTTCAATACCTTTTCCGTTTCCCATTAAAAGCATTTCCGGTTGGCTCGCACTGGACGTACAGTTCAGCAAATGGAAGGGAGATACACAAAAGAAGACAAACAAAACTTTGCCTAGCACACGTGAATATCTTTTACATTTTTTTGTGGGCTGGGCGCCCAAAACAGCTTCTTCCTTTTTTTTGGGGCTGATAATTAAAATTAATTACGCTTGTCCGGCGCTGGTGATATGCGGGATTTATGCAACATAAGTCGTGCAACGTTAACTCATTAAATCGACGTGGCCGCAACACTGAAAATTACTTCGCACATAAAGCGCAATGTGAGGAAAAGCTGGAAAATGTGTAGTCCAAACGATCAAAATTGCTTTTGTACGCACGAAGGCAGCGGCTGTTGCTGTCGTTTCTCTGTTATTGTAAATCAATTAAAATTTATATTGAGCCATGCCAGCAACATGCCTCGAGTCTGGAGCCAGCCTCTGGTATGCCAGCCGGGTTGGATGTTGCAGTTGCATTTCGACCTGTGGCCAATATTATTTCCATTTATGCTGCCTACCGCTGCAGCGTATGCATTGTATTTTTTAATTTCTCCCAAACACGTGGAGGCATCAATTTTTGTTTTTTACTGCCGACCTTTTATCGCCAGACAGAAGTGTGCGTAAAATTATTTTAATGCCACTGGGAAATGCACCAAAAAAACGGGGAATGAAATAAAATAAAGTAATAAATTGTGGCATTCCGTAAATGAAGAATCTTCCATTGCATGTGGCTAGCCTCTGCGACTGGTTGGGTGTGCGTGTGAGTGTGTGTGAGTGTGTGTGTGTGTGTTTAATGTCTGGCAGTAAAAAGCAGTATTTGAATTGCTGAGTTTTCTACAAGTTTTTGACAATTAACTTGAGAATGGAAATGCAAACAGTTTATTAGGACTTGCAAACATAACAAAGAAAGCAAATAATATGCACAGCTTTTACAAAGCAATAAACTTAATCAAAACTATCTCCAAATATTTCTGAAGCCTTAAGTTTTTGATGCAATCTTTAATTTGCAATTTGGGTTTTTGCCAATTGTGCAGCTCTTGTAAATCTTTCTTTTGCCAATTGGTTCAAGATTCGTAAGTGGATTTAAGAACAAGTTTCAATCATGCTTCACATACAAACAAGAATAAGAGCGAGGCAGAGACTTACTCTCGGGGCAAGAGCAGAGCAAATGCGAAAGAGTTAAGCAAAAAATTTGTTAAACAAGCAACTGCAAAATGAACGACATTTGAGTACAGTTTGCATTAAAAGCTTATAGAAGAGCTACAAATCGGCCCAGCAGAAGGGAAAAAGAAACAACGACCGTAAATAAGTAAAGCAAGGCACAAAGGACACTTGACTTAATTTTCTAGCACTTCGTTGTTGTTTTTTTCTTGGCTGTGGCTGAGCCTTAAAAGTAGTCGAGATTCATTGACAAAACTCCCTACCACTCTCTCTTCTCTCTCAGTCTCTCTTTCATGTTCTCTCTCTTTCTCTCTCTCAGTGTGGTTTCTGCTCGAGTGGTTATGAAAACATAAACACAATGAAACGTGCCTATAAATTTTAAATAGCCAGCAAGAGAAAAGTCGCCTTTGGTTGGCCAGCTCTCTTTCTCTCTCTCTCTCACACACACACAGCTGCCTCATAGGACTGTGCGTGAGCGTGATGCATCATAAATAGATGCATGCGTGTGCGTGTATGTGTGCTAACTTAAGCAGACTCTGACCTAACCAGCTAGGCAAACGCCCTTAAATTATGCCACGCAGCGTTTGTCTGGCAAATATCCCAACTAATTTCTCGTCTCCTATTTGCTTTTTACAGGTATCGCAACGGCGACATTGTTAATGTCAACGATACGGATCGCTATCAGGGCGGCAACTCGGAGAACGTAGCGCTGGTCATTAAATCCACTGATAAAGAGGATATTGGAAACTACACCTGCCAGCTAGCCAATTCCGTTGGCAAAGGCATTTCCGAGCAGCAAATCGATCTCGATGTCCAGTGTAAGTTGGAAGATTTGAATATATATATAACTTTAAAGCTCCACTACCTTCCCAAATATAATTCAAAGCCGCTTTTAAAACTTATTATTATTCTGTCAACTGCAGACGTGCCCCTGGTCGAGGTGCAGATGATACCCGAGGGACCCGTCAAGGAGAGCGATGAGTCGAATGTAACCCTGTTCTGTAATATTTTGGATGCCAATCCATCGGTGCTAACCAAAGTGCGTTGGTATGCCAATTCCACATTGCTCAAGGAGCTGCCCGACTGCGAGGAGACAAGAGTAAGTTGTGTCTCTCTCTCTCTCCCTCTTTCTCACTTTGTTTCAAACTGATTAACTTCTGTTTCGCGCAGGAGGATTTATGTCACATTGATCCCAGCAAGCTGCTGCTCGAGAGCATTGGTCGCGGCTTCTTCTATAATTATTCCTGTGAGGGCTACAATGCTGCTGGCTGGGGACCACGCAGCGAGGACAAGGAGCTAATGGTATGCATAACGACAAAAACACAACCACGACCAGTCACGACTAGCCACATTCATTCTCAGCTAAAATTAATGCTGTCCTTTCTCTCTTTCTGTCCGCCTGACAGGTGCACTATGAGCCTGGACCAGCCACGCTGACGCACTTTCCACCGATTGCTATTAAGAAGAAGAGCGTCATCTTTTATTGCTCTGTGGATGATCCGGGCTATCCCGAATCGAATAGGTTTGTAGCATCACAAGCCAACAAGAACAACATTCACAACACATCCACACCACAAATCGCATATCATACCGTGCAAGCCCTGCTGCCGCATGAGGCAGATTCAGCTTTTGAGGCGCTGCTGTTGCAAAGGCAACAGGAACAAAGGCAACAACTAGAGCGGCAGCAACAGCAACAGCAGCAGCTGCCACAGCAACAGCAAATGCGACCACAACATAATTTGATTAATCCCACACACATATCATCAACATTATCAACATTGTCCAGCATGAGTGCAACGCACTCGGCAGCTCATGAAATTAAAGAAACGCATGCTCTAATCGATTTACATTTGAATCATTCCCTTTGTACATTGCTCACGCTCACCACCTACATGCCACAATCACAAATCTTAACCCTGTACAATGGGGGCCATCCATTTGACTATTCATCCGAATCCACCACCGCATCCTATGCACTCTACCGCAAAATGGGCAAATTCATGTATGTGGCTCAAACGCTCTCGCAACCCAACAGATACCGTTGGCTGCGTGGCGGCCGCGGCCCACTGCAGGACATTGTCACCAAGGAATGGACCGTGGAGCCCGTCGGCCTCGATAGCCGCACCAACTACTCCTGCTACGCGTACAATGAGGGCGGCAAGGGCGTAATGGCCACAGTCAATTTGGAGGTACATGCACCGCCATTTTTCATCAAGAATATGCAACCCTACACGGGCGTCCTTCACTCCGTCTCCAACTTCAATCTGACCTGCCGCATCGAGTGTGTGCCCCGCTGCGAGATCGCCTGGCTAAAGGATGGCGCGCCAATTGACAAGAATGATACCCGTTACTTTGTCAAAGAGAAGTATATGGACGCATCCCCGGCCACTGGCGATTTCGAGAGCATGCTCTCAGTTCTGGTAAGTACATCCATTGCAGTGTAATCGAGCTAGCGGGAAGGAAGCTTAAATCAACTCTAACAGTTGATTTAAGGTATTAAGAATATAAAAGAAATTTCGTGCATAAAGAATATTGCGATTGTTGACTATATATATGGCTTAAACAGAGACATATATGAATCATATATTAATTCCTAACAAGAATATATTTCTAAATTGGCAGGAAAAAAACCCTGGTATAGAAAACTTTTTAAGGCCATAAATCCCTTACGCAAAAATTATAGCTTAAATAGTAAATCTTTATGTCGAACCTCGAGATATTATTAGGTCTTTAGTAAAACAAGTAGGCGATTAAAAAATGCCCTGTATACGGCTATAAGGTTTCCTATCTTTTTTCTGAGGCCCACACTTTGACAAGCTTACTTTCTGGAATAACTTATCTAATCTATATGACCTCTTCGGGGCTTAAAGATGGTAAGCCCAAAGTCTGGGCTGTAAATGTTATTTAAAAATTGGATAGTTTTTCTACAAATATTTATATATACATCTTTGTATATTATATAGGAAGCCAAACGCCGAATTTTGTGTAGTTCAGATAGTATTTAAGATATGCTTAAAAAACCTAGGCTGCATGTGTAATCTAATACCTCCTGCCTTCTACATTCAATCTCACAACGGCAATATTCCCCTTTTTACCAAAGGGTACAGGGTATGAAATTCTTTGCAATAAGATCAAGAGTAACAACTCAAGGCACCTTAGGAGAAATATAAAAATAAATTTCTCTCTAGACAAGAACTAAGCACACAATAAAAACGCCAACACGTCAGAAGATTCATAATAATCCTGACTAAAAGAAAGGCATCAACATATTAAGTATATTTAAGCCCTGAAGTAGATAAACCACATCCCTTTCCACTTCTGCTTGCAACGCATTTAACAAATCGTTCCAATTATAATATGACAGAAATTCAACGAAATTCTCAATTCAATATTTTTATCCCATATCAATTACGCGTAAAATCCACTCGTGTCATATGAACAACTCAATACATAAATAGCTGTCTACTCAATGCTCAATAATTTGGACTGCCATGGCAAACAAAATGCCAATTAATTTGGATTGTTTATCTGTTTGTACAAAAATATAAAAATAAAAACCAAAAAAAAAAAGGCCGCGTGGCAGCTGCGACTCGCGCAGCTACAGCCCCAGCTTCAGACGCGGTATCAAAATTCATCCCCAATTCACGCAAATGACATATTTTCATGTTGTATTTTTCTTTTATTTTCTGCAAACCGATTACCAGCACTTCAATATGTCAAATTTTCCGAATAAAAAGTTCGACATCGAATCGGATAACGCCAAATACATGTGCATCTCGACGGCAAACGCGGTGGGACCGACAGTAAATAGCACCACCTACTTGAGCATCGAATGTGAGTATTGCCCACCACCTCATGACAGTCGCATAAAACTGACTGTGACATCTCGTCTGCCTCTCCCCTTTGTAGACGCACCGAATAACATTAGCGTCTCGGAGAATATTGTCTATGTGCAGGAGCATCATATACCAGGACGTGTCATATGCAAATCGCAAGCTAATCCAGGTAAATGAATTTGCAGAATCTTTAAATGCAAAATGCAACCATTTTTCCATTTTATAGAACCTTCATATGAGTGGCTATATCCCAACCAGACGGTAACCATGGGCAATACGCTGATTATCAACGATCCCATTAAGCGCAACGATACGGGCATCTATAAATGCAGAGCCCGCAATAAGCATGGCGATCGCATTGCCGAAACTCTCATCGATGTTCAGTGTAAGTTTTCGTTTTAGCCAGGGGAATGGGTTGCGGCTGGATTCCCATTTGTTATGACTAATTCTTCACTTCTACTGCGTATTTTGCTTCTTTTCGAATGTAGTTGCGCCGCGCTGTGAAATCGAAAGGCGAGAAATCGATGATCAGGATACACTAATTTGCACAGCATACGGAAATCCTCAAGAGGTGAGTGTCAATGATGAATAAGGACAACCGCAACTATAAACAAGTGTGTAAAATGTACAATTGTACAAGACGTAGTTTTGCTTGGATATTTGACCAAAAATTTCTTCTACTGATTGAAAGTTCATTAGTCATGCGTTAATTTCTAATTATGATCTTTATTCACTGTTCGAAAATTAGTGAATTTAAATCGAAGGAATCTCTTTTTGAAGTCAATTTCAGATGCGGCTGCCACTTAAAATTTAAACGAAATACTTGGGGTTTTTCTAGGTATATCTATAGTATTTATTTTGGCAAGTGGATCACAAAAGAGTTATGATCAGATTAAAAGCGCATTGCAAAGAGTAAACAACAAATATATGCTTGAAATTTTAAATGATGCATCTGTGTATAACATACTATGTAGAAAAAATGAGATTAGTATTTCGAAGAAGAGAAACCTAGTGTGATGGACATTAATTTTAGTCGAAGGAAGCCCTGCTTAAAGCGAATTTCAGATAAGTCTGCCTCTTGACCAAGACTGTGCTTCAAATATTTGTTTTTTCTTTGTATCTCTTGAATATGTATGTAGAATGATAAAATATGATTGTGTAAAAGTCAAATTGCAATAGTAAACAACAAATAAATGCTTATAATGAATAGTTACATGCATATAAACATTATAGCACACGTTAAACATGATAAACCTGTTGTGATGGACATTTTCATATATATGAATGTCAAACATTCTAATACTTCGTAATACTCGCACCTAGAGCACACTCCAAACAAAGGCAAGCTTCTGCGCGACACTCAACCCAAACTACCATAAAAAAAAAGGAAAAAGAATTCCGATTCCCAACGCAGGCCATCGAAATGGTAATAACGATAGCATTTCAATTGTGGTGCATGCTGATGGGTGGTTACAGCAACGGATAGAGCTTTGGTTGTTTTTTTTTTTCTGTTCGTTCAGTTCTCTTTCCATGCAGGTAGCTGCAAGTATTTTCAATTTTATGAGTTTACCTTTTGGCCGGAACCCGGATCTCCTGCTGGCTACAACAGTTGCAGCACCAACTGCCAACTCGACTCCCAACTTCAGTTTGGAGTTCGCACTTTTTGCCATGCCGCATAAATCAGTGCAAATTTTTTTTTTTTGCATTTTTTCTTTTTTTTTTTTACAATTGCATTTGCTTTGCCGTTACTTGAGTTAAAGCGTGCTGGCGATTAAGGCAGGAGGGAGTGGTTGGCTGGGGTAAGAGTAACCTGCAGGTTGGCCCAAAGATTTATTGCCACGCATACAGGCAGCAACCGCAGCGAAACGAGTCTTGCCTCTGTGTGTGTGTGCGTGTGTGTGTATGTGTGTATGTTTGCGGAGCAAAGTCGGTGGCTCGTAATTATTTGATTGGAAATTATTCAACGGGCGTAAAGTTAAAATTTAATAACGCTGCATGCAATCAGATGAGAAATTGATGCGAATCGATGTTGGGTGCGCCAGAACTAAGGAAATAAGAGCAACGAAATACATGAGCTTAAAGTTAAGCAACTGGCCAAAGAAAACTGCCAGTTTTCCATGAAATATATCAATTTCGTTCAAAATGTGCATTCGAGAAATATCCGGTAGCCTTTTTTTTTGGTTGACGTAATCATTGAGAACTTGTTTTATATTTAAAGACATAAAGGCAAAATTTTCTCTTGTTCTATCTCTGCCTATTGGAAGAGGTTTTCAAAAAGCAAACAAATCACATTCGTGTAAGCCAAGTGACAGGTTTCAAATGCAGTTAAGCCAGATCGGCCATGTCGTTCAGCTCAATGCCCATTAACCAAGACTGAAAAGCTGCCCCAACAATGCTGGCCATCAAAAATGCCAAAACCAAATTCAGAACACAGCCTCGGAATGCAAAGAAATATTGCAATGCAAGGGAAAATTGTTAAGACAAACAAAAAAAGGAAAAACTGAATTACCAAAGTGCAAAGTGAAATTCCGCAAAACAGCCGAAAAGGTGCAGACATCAACAGACATGGACTTGCATAGGTCCAATGGGCCATTTGTACTCGAATCCTGCGTGCTCAACTCTTTCTAACTCTCAATTTTGCTTTCCCTCTATCTTTCTTCTTCTCGCTATCTCTGTATATTGCAGGCCGATTTTTCATGGTCAATTAAAGCTGAGAATGAAACAGTCGAAACGCTGGGCGCTGGCGACAAGAAGACCTTTGCCGACAGAAGCTTTTACATACTGCAGGAGGATTATGCCATTGCCAGGACCTATCGATGTGTGGCCAACAATTCCGTTGGACCCGGCGCGTTCTGTGAGATTGAAGTTGCTGGTGAGTAATATTCCAAAAAATAGCACCAAAAAACTGAATTAAAAAAAAAATACAAGTAAAAAAGAAGTACATGACGGAATGGGGCGAGGCAACGGAAGCTGATTACTGTCAATATTTGCTTCATCTGTTTCCGTTTTCCGGTGCTTCTTTTTTTATGCTCTGCATAAAATGTTGGCTAGCTGCTTCCGCTTTAAACTAAAATGGCGGCCACGTCTCTGCTGGCTGTGGCAATTAGGGCATTGTTTGGCGCCCAGCAATTCGCATTTCCACCATCACCCCCGCCCCCTCTCGATTCCCTTTGCTTACCTGTTATTCTAACATGCGCCACGTTTTATTACAACCCAACGGAAATTGATTTCTGCGCTTTTTCCTTGCGTCCTTTACAAAGAAATCAGTCGAATTTTCTTTTATATATATTTTGTTTTTTTATGCGCTCTGATTTTCTTCAGCTGCTTAAGTCGTGAATTTCACTTGGTTTTCCGCGATTTTAATGTCTGTCAAATACACACAACGCGCCACGCCCCGCGTCCGTTGCCCGTCGCCCAGCTTTCCGCTAATCTGCCAGCTTCACTGTGTCCACTTGCTATGCCACTTTCTGTACCATTTCATTGATTGAATTGAAATTGAAATTGAAATTTGACAGCTGATGACGTCAACATTTTTTTTATGGTCCACTTTATATTTTAGAGCTGAGCGACGTCGTCTAAAATTGGCAATGGCTTTGATTTATGTACTCTTAAGTAATGTGCAGCCCACAAGTTATTATCCAAACCCTTCCAGCTATTATCCCAAACTCTTCCTTTGGTCATAAATATTATTTATTATTTATACAAAAAAGAAGAAAAGATGTAAAGTTTTTGGTTTTCTATTTTATATTAACAGCTGGTTCAGCACTTTATATTTGGTGGCAAGGTAAATGCCGTAAAAAGTTCTCACTTCTTTTTGAGTTGACATCCCACTTCCTTTTTATTTACCTCATTTGTTGAGTTCAAGCAACCATCCCAATTAATGTTATCGGATGTGAAAATGATTGAAAACATTTGCTTAATTCCAATTTAGTATTGAGCAGCAGCAAAATGATTGGGTCTATCCTGTGAATTAACACATATATCTGCTATTCTCTGTCTTTTCCATTTGCTTTTAAATATAATGCTAATCCCATTTTATGCCTCACTAACGAATTTGAAACGCTTCTAATAAATTAGTGCGACCAAAAAGTAAGTAACTGCATGTCTAAATACTAAAAACATTTATGTAAACGCAATGAAATTATTATATAATTTAAGGAACAAAAAATTATTCATAATTTTTAAAGGCTTACATTCTGTAGAAATTTGTAGAAAAATAGTTAAGAGGGGTTTCCCACAAATTCAATATGTTTTTATATTTTAGAACTGATTTAAATTGATATTTAAATGTAAATTTTTAGGTGAGGTACGTCAAAAGACTTAAATGTTTATTTGCTATTTTTAAACAATGTCAAACAGTAGAAATTCTAATGGTAAATTATGCAATGACCGGCTACAACAATCTTAAAGCTATAAACAAAGCTGCAGTTGGCATACATAAACATAAAAGCCGCTGCTGTGCCACATTCAAACGCTGATCCACATAACCAAACATGTAAACACACACGCACTCACATACACACACACACACACACGCGCCCACACAGCGAACTACAACTAAAAGCCGCCATTTTTCATTTGTCGCTCTCTCGCTTGTTTAATTGCATAAGATAGGAAGCGGATAGAAATAGCTGTGCTGGGGCAGGGGACAGGGCATAGGGGAGGCTTAAGGCCTGGCTGCTGACTGCTAAATGTTGTTGACACGCGAATCCGCACACGATGCCAAAATGAATAGCTCATAACATATGTGAATACACTCAGAAAACAAATACACACGCCAACAGAGATAAACGTTGCCACGAAACAAAGGCGTCTGCCACACACTACACACACACACACGCACGCACACACACACACACACATAGAGTGCGCACTGCTGGCAAAGACAATTCATTTGTTTGGATGATAAACAGCTGAATTATAGCAAATATGGAAAACAATGAGAGACGAGCCGGCTGAAGGATGCCGCTCCAGCTGCCTAGCACAATTTCATAAGACAATGCCACATTGCGTGGGCATGACGGGGACACTGGCCGGGCGGGGGTGGTACGGGTGCGGGGTGCTTTCTAAGTAAAACATGAAATGCATTTGTATGTGCGGAACTGTTGCCGCTGCCGTTGCCGCTCCCGCTGCTGCATGGTTAATGCCGTCGGTCCCTGGCATAGCAAAACCATGTGACAAGTTGATAAATTAAAGTTAGCTGACAAGCAACTGCAGCAGCAGCAGCAGCAGCAGCAGCAGCTAAGTCTGTTGGCAGTCAGTCAGGCAGTCAGTCAGTCAAGTGGCTAAGTAGGCAGACGTCGGGCTTAGCTCGGCTGTCAGTTGTAAAGAATTGCATGTATTGTTAAGTTTTGCCTATGCTTTAAGTTTGCAACGAGTTCGCGCTCAAAAGTATGCTATATTTTAATGCTCATCTCTGTCGCTCTTTTTACCTACCACACCCACTCCCGTTTTTCTTTCTGTAGAACAACTGGCCTGGTGGCAGCGCTGGGACAAAACGACGCTCATTATACTGGTTGCCGCCATATTGGCCTTATTGCTGGCCGTCATTATTATTTGCTGCATAATTATATGCATATGCCGTCGCCGTCGGCGTCAGGATAAATGTGAGTACAATAATAACAAGAATAAACTCAAAATGACTGCAAACAGTCTGTTTTGTCATGTTATGGAAATTTCCCCCAAGCATAGTGTTAGGCCCTTTGAACAAACCGAAAATAAACAACCAAAGCCTACAATATGAGTTGAAATTATATTTGAACTATTTGTGCCACAAACTTGAATTGAACATTTTTCTGGCATCTTTGAAGAAATTATTTTTAAGCATTACTTCATTTGAATTTTGCCTGTAAAGCAGCATGTCGAACCCTTTGCATGGTTATGATTTTTAAAGAATATTCACAGCGAAAAATTTGCTTAAGTGCATGAACTTATCCAATTATTCAACAGAACAGGCTACAGGACACTTCCCATAGCTTTATGCGAATTTCACAGAGATATATATAACCTGTTCACTTTATAAGTATGCCATTTAAATAACATAGCTTTTCTCTGTTGAATGCATATGAAATCCGATTATCACTGCTGCCTCATTGCATGGGCTAAGAACTTTATTTATTTATTTGTTTTTATTTGGTTTGCTGTTTTGCCTTGATTTTAATTACTGGCTTAAAGCTTTTGTGCTGCGCTTTGCTGTGAAAATGTTGCATATTTCCATTAAAAACAAGAAACTGAAGTGATAAGTCCATACAGGGTGGTGCAATTGTTGCTTCATAATATATTTCAAAAGAAACCAAACAAATTTTGATGTTTTAACAAATTATAATAGGCTTTCAAAAACACCCTGTATGGAATATAGTTACACCTTTATACATTCAATTTGATCAAATTATATTATGTTTATATAAAATTATAATTATGTATTTTTTTTCATGTTTTCGTTTTTCAATTATAAACGCTTTATATACCCATGTATATATTATTGAATTTGTGTGAATGGTAATTTTGTTCGATTCAATGTTTAATACTTAAACAACAAAAACAAACTCCATATTCACAACAAAAAACAACTTCAATGGCATAAAAAATACATTAATTACAAACCCACAACAATAACAAAAAATATCTACAACTAATTAACAACCACAACGAACCCAACAAACTACAACAAAAATAAATGGCTGTTATTTGTTTTATTCATTTTTTTTTTTTGTTTTTTTGTTTTCGTATTGTCTGCAACAATTTTAATTAATTTTGCTTGGCATCTCGCTTTTACAAACTATCGCTACAATCTATCTATCTGACTCATACACTTGTGTATATTACATATTGTTGTCTCAATGCTGCTTCACTTAATAATTGCTCGCTGTAACAACCACAACAAACAACAACAACAAACAACAACAAAAAACAACAACAATAACAACCACAATACATTAAACGATGCTTTCAATGCTTTGCCAACCAAAACGCGCCAAACTCTTCATATTGTGCTACAATATCAACAACAACTACAAACACCACACACACACACACGCTCACACACTTGCATTATAACAACAACAACAACAACAACGTCAACCAAATCTCATTTGATTTAAATTCATTTGGTTAAGATCATACGGAAGTTTCCATAAGCGCCAACCAAAGGTAAGTGCTGCATTTAATTGTTATTGATTAAAAGTATTCAAGTATTTTTGAAAATGTATGCAAAGACTTTTATGTTTCATTATTAAATTGCTATAAATGTATTTCAAATTGAAATCTCTTTAATTCCTAATTGGAGATTAAAGGATTTTGCTTCGATCTAAAAGATTTCAGACGTGGAATTCTGGTAGCATTTTAGGGAACCAAAACTTTTAAACCTTGCTGATTAGCGAGGTCCAAATAAAAATGTCCGCTAACTGAGTCTTTGCTAAAACCACTTGAGAATTATAACACGCACGTATATATTTCTTCAGAACTACCAAGACATTATTAAACCAATTTCTATGCTGAAAGCATATATTTAATTTAGTTTTTTCCGATAGAACTCAAACATATACAAATAAATTAAATTGATTATAAGAATATTAAATAAATTTTTTAATAATTCTAGTGTTAAAATGTGCATGCTTTTCAAGACTTGCCTAAATTCTTAACGATTTTAATTTATTTAATTTTTATATTTTTTCCCACACCATTTCGTTTTTTCGTTGCATATATATCAATTGCTTATTGTGCGCACCCAACAACAACATCAACTATATAATCAACTGTAACTTATGTATTATCACATGTATCACATATTAAACGTATATATACAAATTGAATTCCTGTTCGTATCGATGTGCGTGGCTTATAATCCTTTGTTGCTCGCTTGCTTTATTCAAATACACGCTTACCAAATGCCGAACATCGAAAACAACAATTATTGCAATGGCAACATATACGCATATGCACACACACACACATACCATTCACATACATATTGCATATCACAGCGTGCTATCCTATCAGCCGGTCTTGCCGCAAGTGGGCGTGGCCTTGCCCATACAAGACACAATGACGGCAGCTGCTGCCACATTGTTGCCCGCAACCCTATTGCCACCGCAGCAACAGCAACAACATCAACAAAAGCTCACAACGGCCGAGAACAACAATGAGCTGGCCACGCCTCTGCCCACAACGCGCAACAGCTCATTGCATGCCACAGTACCAAAATCGCCGCCACGTTGGCCACTGCGGCCAGGTGTCATGTTGCACGTGAGCAGCGACACCAAAGAGAATCTTGCCGTGAATCGCATGACACTGAAACTGAATCCGAATCCAAACACAAATCCCAGTGCAAATGCGAGTCAATTGTCGGCACAGCTGAGCGCCGTGCTGAACGATAGCCAAACTAACTCAAACAGCACAATGCTAACCGAGGTGACGGGGACGGTGATGGAACAAGCAGCAGACACAGCAGCAGAATCGACAGCAACGGCAGCATCGCAGCCCGTAGCAATTGCAACAGCAGCAGCAGCTGCAGCTGCAGCAGCCAACCGTAGGCTGATGAAGACTAATCCGTCTGACATTGCCTTGCCATCGACAGATGCAACAGACGCCGCTACAGCTGAGGCAGTACCAGAGCTAACCGCCTGCCTGGTCAATCCAACTGCAGCAACAACTGCAACAGCAGCAGCAGCAGCAACAGCGACTGCCGCTCCCAGCAGCATGCAGCGCATTTTGGACTTTGTTTTCAGACGCGCGAAGCGGGCCAGCGATGATGGCACCCGGGACAGTCAGCGCAGCCATGTTGGTCTGTTGCAGACATTTTGGCGTGGGCGTGGCAGCCAAGAATCGCCTTTTGCGGCACAGCATCGCCTCAAGGGCATACGTTGCAGTGGCAGTGGTAATAACACATACATCTTGGACGACTCTCTGCCAGATTGTTAACTTATGATTTTTATTTTTGTATTTATCGTTTGCCTTTTATGTTGCATCGCATTGCGTATCATGCACACACACACACACACACACACATGTATCTTCATGTATCGCTAGTCACATACAAAAAGACGCCCACAGCAACAGCAACTAATTCAACAACAACAACAACAGCAGCAGCACCAGCAGCAGCAACAACAAACAATCCCAGCAGTGCCCAATCACATGCCTCTGTGACATTTCAAGCGCCTTCATTAGACAAGACGTCGCCAACAGACACCGCAGCAACAACAACAACAGCGGCAACAACAACAGCAGCAGCAATGCCCGCAGCAGCAGCGGCAACAGCAACAGTCCACGCTGGGCCTGGCGTGAGCTGCTTGGAGCAACCGCAGCGCCCAGGCATATTGAAGTGTTCAACGCCCCCGCCGCGCCCACCGCCGCCGATATTGCCGTTGCGTCATGGCCCTGGACAACAGCAGCTGTTGACCAGCAGCGGCCGCAGCAACATACACATCAGCAACAGTGGCAACCGGCCGCCTCTGCTCAAACGCACCGTTGTGGTGTCACCCAGCAAAGTCGAACGCGTCCAAAGTAAGAAGAAACTCACAAGTCATCTCATATATAGCTCATATACAGCCCAACATTCATTCACTCGCCCAGCCCACTCTGCTCGTTGTGAGCTCATAAATCATTTACATCGATTGCATTTCCAATTGAATTTTATGCCGTGTAGCCTATCTTTATTAATACTCTGTACATTTTGCCACAAATATCTCAAAGTGACTTTCTTCTGCTCTAAACGTGTTGGTAATATTATTAGCCAAAGGTGACTAGGCAAATGTTTCATGCTCCCACCTCCCAAAAAGAATACCTATATGAATTTACAGTTTAAGGCATAGAAATTTATTTGAAAAGCAATTGGGAGCTCATTGAAAAAGCTGAGTTGCAATTTCAAATGATTTGAAGATGAGGCTCAGCATAGATTACTAAATTATTTGCAATAAATAAATCTGTTCTGCAAAACGGGTTTTAAAGCGAGCGTTAAACCAGAAAGGGCCGAACGGACACCCAAAGTAAAATATATTATTTTCAAACATGTATAAACATTTTTAAGCGATGTGGAGAGCCATATTTCGAACTGGCGCGCTGGCTCAAACCATTGACGAATTTCTTTGGGAATTATAAACATTTTGCATAAACCATCATCAAATTTTTCTGTTAATAATAAACATTTTTAAGCCATGTAGCGAACCATGATTTGAACCAACACACTGGCTCAAACCAGCGACGAATTTTTGTAAGAATTGCAGCATTGGTTTTTATATTGTAAAACACTTCCGTCATCTTCTCAATCGTATTCCAGTCACACTCACAGTCACTCATAAGTTCATAACAAACCCATTTATCATTAAACATTGTACATACATACACACATGCCTACTCTCAATTATTTTTTCGTCATTTTCCTAATCTGTATATCTTTGTGCCACAAACAAATCGTAATGTAATGTAAGTAATTTACTTTAACGAATCAAGCGTCGAGGTCCTTATATAAGAGACAGAGAAGCGACAAGTAAGAGAAATGCATAACTTCAAACGTTTATAGAGCCAACAATCATGAAGAACATCTGCTAACACAACAAAAACTTGTCTAGTCAAAACTATCGATGTTCTTATTATTAATTAATATTTTATTTTCGTTTGGCTTGCAATTTTTCAATGTTTCCATGTTGCCTGCTTGTGTGTTGTCCTGGCCTGTGCGTGTTTCGTATTTCTGCATGAATTTCAAATTTAATAAAAAACGATGTAAAACTTCAAATCGAATAAATATCAAATATTATGTAACTATAATTTCCATAGGTTTTCAATTTAAGTTGAAAAGTCTTTAGCTTAGGTGTATGACAAAAAAAAAATATTAAGTTTAATTTTAGTATACATTTATTTAGCCTATAAACCTTATGATTTTATAATTGACTAATTATATTCTCGTCTATTTTTTCCAATTATTTTCGGTTCTTTTTTCTCATTTCAAAAAAAAAAAAACATTATTTAAAAAATGTTTTAAAAAACCCAACGCTAATCGCCAAATCAACCGATCCGTATACGTATACTATATAGTACACGACAAGTCGTCTTCACTGGGGGATCCATTGACGGAACCTGGCGAGTATGAGAATCTACCGTTTCATGGTCTGCAAACGGCACCTAACAAGGTATAGTTAACATTTTTCTGTTATTTTTTTTCCAATAACATAACCTAGAAATGTTTTCAACATACTTAATGATGAAACGATTCGTTTAACACGCTCATGCACACATACACGCACACACACCCACACCCACACGCACACTCACACGCACCCACACACATTGCTAATCTCGCCTCGTATTACTATGTACTATATATATATAAGTCTAAGCTTTATCTCAGTATATTGCCTCTTGTCTATGTCTATCTCTATCTCTATCTCTGTCTGACTTATAGTTTTTCTGGCCTCTAGTGTTATGCCAACTTCTATAAAAAATTGATTATTTTTGTTTGTGTAATTTGTTTGACGTAAAAGCAAACAGAAAATTCAACATTTTAGTTTTTTGTTATTTAAGTAAATATATTGTATAGAGAGGTGTCTATCTTAGCCATTTACGAGTAGTATATAACTAGCCTACTCCCTTCGCTTTTTTGCTCTCCATTGCCTAATGATGTCTCTCATTCATCATTCATTTGTCATTTGTGTCATCTTTTTCGTATTCTTTGTTTTATTTCTCGATTTATATCTTTTTCATTTATTTACAAGCAACATCAAAAATCAAGAATTTCCGTTTCAGTTTACGCAAAGAAACGAAAATAATCATGATTTATGTGTCGTCAAGTGAACTTTTTTTTAAATAATTTTTTCTTAAATTTAGTTTTCTTGGCTTTGGTATCTTTGGTATTTTAAGGACTTACTTATGAAATCCATATTGTTGTGTATATTTAAATATTATGTAGCATGTAGTATGTAAGTTTTTTACAATATGATTTATTTATATTACTGAAAAGAACTTAAAACAAATGTGAAAACACTAAATTTTGCAAATATGCGAGTTTAATGGGAAAATTAAGAGGCAGAAAATGTAAAAAAAAATTGTTCTTAAAGTCAAATACAAATGCGAGATTTAAAGCAAAAGGTTTTAGTGTGAGTTATTAAGTTATTAATCGCTAAGCTTTAAACTAAAATAAACATGACTTAAACTGATTTTATTTATTATTTCGACAGTTTATTTATCGAATTGTTTCGTTAAAAATACTATCCATCTCAAACGTTGAGAATATTCAGTGTTAATAAAATGTTGTAAATAAATTTCCCGTATAGCTCGCATATTTACAATACACACAAATCCACATTCACTTTAAGAAACCTCCTCCCCTAATCAGTGTTGTTCTCTAGTACTGACACATGCTCCAATTACAACAGTTGATACAGTTCACCCACAGCTTCACAGTCGTAACTAACCGATATGCAAACATCCATAACTAACCAAGACAACTAATCGAATGTTCTCTCTCTCTCTCCTAACTCTATCACGCTGCCCCGCCGCATAACCAAATCAAATGCTGAATAAAATAAAACAAATGCCCCATTGCATGTGCCCGAATCCGCATCCGCATTCGCATTCGCATCGTATCGTCTCGCATGGCAGTTCTCTACTACCCCTACAAATTTTAATAACAACACAAATGTGGTGCGCGTCGCTCCACGACCCAAGAGACTAAATGGAAATATTGGTCAAGCAATGAACAGCCAGCAGCTGCTGCATCACCAGACTCTTCAGCATCCGCCTCCTCAACAGCAGCAAACACATTACTACGACCAACAAATGCAGCAGCAGCAGCAGCATCAGCAGCAGCAGCAACAACATCAGCAGTACAACACTTTGCAGTACGGGCGTGGCTGCACAGCCCCGCCCCCTCTCACGGCTCCACATAATCGCAGTCTGGATCAGCTCGAATCCAGCTCCGATCAAATACAATATAATCTAAGCAATTGCTTTCCCAAAAGCTACACCGAATACTACCAGCAGCATCATCATCAGCAGCAGCAGCAGCAACAAACGCAGCAGCAACAATCTCAGCAACAGCAACAACAACAACAATCGCATAAATTTCACACCAATTCCGCGTCCAATGCGCAACTCTTGAATGCCATCGAGCATGATTATCAGCCCACATATGCGGTGGTTGAGCGTGTGCCACCGCCACCTCCTGCGCCCAGTTCCGCGCTGCTCAACACAAATCCCTTTCTAGCCGCCAGCAACTTTAAGAAATACGATGCGGCCGGCGACGAGCTGCTGGGCAGCATGCAGCGCGGCAAACGCGGCAAGGCGGGCAGCCTGCTGGAGCGCATGGACATGGACAAGAAATTCTATTCACTGAAGTTTCCCAATGGCGCCAACAAGCTGAAGAAGCCGGCCTACAATCTGAATGCCTCGCTGGGAATGGCCACAACGACAACGGCGCCGAAATGCAAGCGGCATCATTCCTTTGCTGGTGGTAGCCATGGCGATATTGAATCCAACGGCAAGCCCATGCGCCTCTATGATCCGCCCGTCTATGAGAATGTGGCGGACAAGTGTGGCGGCGATTTGGACATGGATATGGGCGGTGACGGCAGCAGCAGCAGCATTGGTCACAATATGAATCTGAATCATAATCTGAATCTAAATCTGGCCACAGTGCAGCTGCACACGCAGCCAGCTGCTGTCGTCTCGGCGAGCCACAAGAAGAAACATCACCATCGCCAGCACCAGCAAAAGGCTGATGCATCAGTTGGCGCCGCTGGCGCTGGAGCTGACTTTCAACTGATGGAGCCTGAACGCCTGAGCATTTATCGCAGCGATTCGGGCATATCCAATAGCTCCTATGAGTCCCAGCTGCCGGCACTGGGCCAACGCACACCAAAGGCGCACAAGGCGGCATCCTCGGGCCTCAACCTGACCCGCAAGCCACTCTACATGAACGTGGAAGGGCAGCAGCAGCAGCAGCAGCAACAGCAGCAGCAATTGGCACGTGCCGGCTCACCGGCGCACAATATTAATTCGTCCTATGAATCCGCCTCGTCGGCGCCCGTCACAGATCCCACCTCGCTTAGCTCATCCAATTCGCTTTACAGCAGCGGCATCGGCACCGTCAGCTCACGCTGTAATCGCCACTCGCAGCAACAGCAGCAGCAGCACCAGCATCAGCAGCATCAAAGGCAGCCAACGCCGGAAATCACAACACCTGAGGATTATGAGCAGTACCAACTGGGACATCAGCCAGCACATTCCGCCTCCATGCTGTCCGTTGCCAGCAGCGTGAGTGCCGCCAGTCGTGGCAAGTGCAAGCCCTCCAGCACAGCGACAATGCAACAGCTGCCACTTCGCTTAGGTCCACATGAGGTGCGTACACACTATTTCCTTTTGGCTCTGGGCATGGGCATCTGCATCTGGCAGGCAGCTCATTATTCTCGGTGCAACTACTTAATATTCCACGCACTATTTTCAACAATTCGCGCAATTTAAGTTTCAGTTTTATTTTCTTGCGGCGTAATCTATATAAGAGACGAGATTTGCTTCATGCTAAGCTATTACATTTTCGAAATGGTGTGGTTCATAATTGCCCAAGCGGAATGGTTGAATTAATTTCGTTTATAGGTTTAGAAGTCGAAGCAATTAATAACCTATTTCTAGAAGTTAACACTTTAGGACCGAATTCAAGTTGAAAGCTTTTGAGATACAAAGAGCTTTAAAGTGCATCATATCCAACTAATCCTTGGTTCATTTCAAGGCTGCAAGCCAGGTTTCAATTTAAATTATGCCACAAACAGAAAATTTTTTAAAAACGAGTTGTTTAAAAAAACCCAGTCAAACCAATAAGCAAGCCCTAACATAGAAACATAACAAAAATAACTTGAGCTCAAACATTGCACTTAGCTAACCATATTTTTTAGATATAAATTCTGGGTGGAGATCAAATGTCTAGCAGCACACTCAATTATATATATAATAAATAGATTTAGAAAATCAGGTTCACGAACCGATCCCGAAAACAGGAAGCAGAGCTAAATCGAACCATAAAATGTGCAAGGCACAATTTTCTTCGTTTTGGGGGGAGTTTTGAATTATTTTAATTGATAGTTGTTTTTTTAATTTACTTTTATGATTTCCACTTTTTTCTTTTACATGTCACGATTGCTTAATCTAATATAATTTTGATGGAAACACACCACAAAAAACCTTTGCAATCTGTTGCAATATAATAATAACAAAAACCACAACAACAACACAATCGCCATTGCATGCGCAAAATCGCATTGAAAACATTGAAACCACGAAACTAACCACAGCAAACGCAATTGTTGGCCACTAATCCATTTTTAGCACTTAAACGGCACAGCAACAACAGCAACAACAGCAGCAGCAACAGCAACGACAACAAAGGCAGCAGCAATGCCTGCAGTAAGAAATTACGACGACAGACCATCAGCGACCCCTACGCACATATCAAACGGCATTATGCCGGCGATGCCGATGCCTCTGTTGCCAGAAACAATAATAACAACAACAACAACGACGACGACGGGAGCAAAATCGCTGAAGCCCTTGCAGCCAACAGTAATAGTGGCCCCAAAGCCGCGACAGCAGCAGCAACAACGTCAGCAGCAGCAGCAGCAGCGGACGAGCAACAAATTAGCAACAACAACAACAACATCGGCAACAATGGGCTTGGGCATGGGCGGGGGCGTGGCAATCATCAACAACAAATGCTAATGCCAAATGAATTGCTGCTGCAGGCAAGTCACTTAGCTGCCGCCGACTGCAATCAGAATTTAAGATATGTGCCGCCCATGCCAAGTGCCACGCCCATGACACAACCACTGGCTGGCGCCTACGATTGCCTGGTGGTGCGTCGTCCGATGCGTCTGCCGTTGCGCAAACATCACACCTTCCATTTCCAGACAACACAAACGGCCAACGGCAAATTGCAGCAGCTGCGCCGCCAACTGCAACAGCAACAGCAGGAGAGGGAGCAACAGCAGCGGGCGCAGGGTCCACTCATCTATCGTCCATTGGAGCTGAGTGAACGGCATGCCTTTAAGCCAATTTCACCAACACCTGCAACAGCAACAACGTCTGATTATGAAAAATGCCAAGAGAACGACACACAGCAGCAACAGTCGCAGCAAGAACAGCAGCAACAGCAGCAGCAGCAGCAACAGCAGCCAGCGACGGGTCAACTAAATCCCGCTGCCTCATTAGAGGCATTAGAGGTGTTAACTAAAACGCATCCGGACTTTATGTTTACCCGACCAAGCGGCCAACAAAGCGAGCCACTTGCTGCTGCTGTTACAGCAACAGCAACAACAACAGCTGCTGCTGTGGAGGAAGATGAGGATTTGGGCTACTCCTTTTGCGAGGAGGAGTACATGGTGGATGATGATGATGATAATGCTGATGATGATGCGGCAAATCACAATCTCACGGCACCGCCCACAACGCCCGCCCACAGCTCACAGAGCAGTGCAGCAATTGCAAATGCAACTGCGGGCGCATTGAGATACTTTCTGACTCAAAGCTATCGCGAGGTGCACATTTGAAATTCGAGGGGAGAGCGTTAGACACAAAAGATACAAATCAGAAATTGACAGTTAGACAGGCCTAAATGACGCATACAAGGTATTTAGTAATTAAATAAAGCTGAGGGAATAAAAACATATTTATATTTAGCATAATTCAAATTCAAATGATATAAGTAAACAAAATAAGAGAAAAGTGTCGAAAGAACAGTTTAGTTACGAGTCACTAATATATATACAATAGCTTAGAGTTTAACCAATCATCAAATCATTCAGCAAATGGTTCTCAATTTCATATACTGGCATCTTGACAGGGTGTATAACCATTTCAACAGTCAATATTCAATCTTATCGTGATGCTTGCGATTCGCTATTGCCAACTGTTTCACCTGCTGTCACATTTTCATCAACTTTTGCCAATGTTTTTACGTATTTTTATAAATATATATATATATATATTTATTATTCATATATCAACTAATTGTAATAGAATCTTTTGTGGCCCTTAGAGATGCCCAAAAAAACACAACCTAATATGAAGAAATCGAATACACAGAAAGGCCACAGAGCAAAATTGCAACTGTCGAGGCACTTAGTGTTAGTGTACATAGTTAGCATAAATTTAAACTTGATGAACAAATACTTAAATTAATTTAAATACAACTAAAGGAAAACAAAAAGCAAACAATTACAAATAATACACAAGCAAAATCAACGAGCATTATAAAGCTAAATACTAAACATTCCCAGAAGCACAACTAATTCATTCTTATATTAAATATATATAGTTAATTATTAAGTATTATATTAAGGCAACTCTGACTGTATGTGTGTTAAGTTTGAAGTAGTTTTGTGTAATGTATACAAATGAATATTTAAACAATTTAGATATGTATGTGTAAACACTTGTATTGTATATAGAAATGATTGGCTGCCCAACTTGAAGGTTTCTCTAATCACTGAGAGGCAGCTGGGCGCAGCGTCTAGTTTATGTACTTTCTATTTATTTAATTAGTTGAATAAGAAAGCAAAAAACATACCATTGAAGTGAAAACCAAACAGAAGCCAAGCACTTTAATTAATTATTTAAAACCTATTATTTATTATAATTACTCTTAAATAAGGAAACCAAAGCAAATATTTTAAAAAGTTCACTTAAGCGGTATCAAATGCATTCTTCAAGCCTAACTCGCATATACAAAACAAAAGCTAACAAGTTTTTTTTTTTTTTTAAATAGAAATAACAATATTTGAAGTGTGTTCTAAATTACATATTAATTTCTTATAGCATGTGTCCGATTTTGAGGATCCATACAAAGGCAGCAATACCTATATATTCTAAATTCTTTTTGTGTAACTTTCCACTAAATATCAAATGCCCAGCTAAATGTTTTATGTCACAGTAGAAAAAGGTAAATCAATTATTAATAAATATTACTTTCTGTTATGGTCAAATGTTAATAATTTATTTCAACTGTCGTTCTGCTGTCCATTGAAAATGATGATGATGATGATGATGATTATGATATTGATTTCAGTTTCGATTCTTAAAATCGTTCGATATGCTATCTAAAACACACTTTTCACGCTCAGTTCTCTCTCATTTGCTTATTTACAAATACGACAGGCGTTATAGATTATTAATATGCATGAGAAGTGCGCTTTCTAACAATTGTTGCGAGCATGTTCCATTTAATGGTATTGCATAAAAGATAATTATAAAGAAAACACCTACTCTTTTTCAATAATAATATAGCCACTAAATGCCGCAAGTTTCGATGATGAATTCATTTATGCCGATCTCGAGAGTCAGCATTATGGGCCCATCAATTACAAAGCCGCCTCGCTCTATGCCCAGGTCAAAAAGAACAAGAAAACGGGAGCTCTGGAGGAGCTGAAGCAATAATCTTGGAGACAAACGAATCTCCAAAAATATTTTGCAGTGCATTTTGGTCTATTTTTTATGATGTTTATTTAATTGTTGTTTAATTTTTTTAATGTAATCTCTTTGCTTTTGTACTTAGCGCAAGCGAAATGCGGACGATTAAGCTTCTGTAAACTTAAAATCGAAAAGAGTTTAAAGCAAATGAATAACGAATTTCTTAACTTTATGAAGGCAAATACAACAAAATGATATTAATTGTTATAACATGAAAATTATTGAAAGAAAAAAAACATATATAAAAACATATGTATATTATAAGTCACGCACCAAATTAACTAGCAAAACATTTTGACAGTCAATACACATACCTAAATAGGCCCATTAACAACAGCAAAAATAAACAAAAACAAACCAATTACATAGTTTTTATCACTAAACAAATCAAAAAAAAAAACATAAGCAGGCATTGTACTTAGCAACAAGCGAATATATATATATATATATCAAAATAAAAATTACCAATTAAAATCGAAAAGTAATTAACGGAAACAACATTAAAACGAAAACATTTAATATGCAAGCAGCCACTAACTTTAGTTAAACAAGAAAGAATAACTAACTTCGGCGCGCCGAAGATTGAATACCCTTGTAGATATATGGCTAACTATCTAACAGACATGTCAAGCAAATTGTGAAGCTTGAAATTTCAGATTTTGGTGAAGATTTCTTCAAAAACAGTTTGCCATCTAAGAATTCAAATAGTCCGTTGTGTGACTCAAAGGTAAGAAGGAAAAGAAAAGACGCACCTGTGAAAAGGTAAGGGACTAGTTTGCATAGAATCAGTTGGATACGTCTACTGATCAAGAGTATATATAGTTGATGGAGTTCAAGACGCCTTCTTCAATGCGTTGCACATTTCGGGACAAAATTATAATACCCTCTACAAGGGTATAAAATAAAAAAAAAAAAAAAGCATCAACAAACTTTCGAATATTTATCTGTTTTATTTATTTCTTCTTTTGTATATTTAAAATTAACCACAAAACTATCAAACAGTTCCCAAATGCACACAATCATATATAAAAAATAGATAATAAAACAGAGATTAAAAAACAAAAACCATCAAAACCAACATAAAGAGTTACGCAGACAAACAAAAAGCAGCTTCAGTCGAGAGAAGAAAGAAAAAACAGGAAATAAGGAAAATTAGCATTAATATTAATTTTCATGGTTTTCTATTTGTATACAACAAACTAAAAAAAAAAATAAATACAAATAAATAAAAAAATAGCCTAACAATACCAAATTATTGTATATTAAAACCATAAATAATTGATATTAACGAACACACATCAAGAGGGAAACTAAAAGGAAAGTCGAATGAATTTTGTTATGCAATTTATTGTAATTAATTATAAATATTATTTATTATTAATTATGTGAAATACATCAAATTATAAATATATATATACATATAGATACATACATACATACAAACATTATTGTATAATTATACACATAAATTATATAAATCAGCATTTACTTGGAAATGCCAGCAAAACAAATAAAACTTAATTAAATTAAAGTAATTGAAAAGCAGAGAGCAACCAAAAAGTGGAATTAAATTGAAAGTAAAAAACTTAGACTCAAGTACTTATATATACATACATATATATATATATGCAAATATATATATAACGATGAAGGAACCCCGTAAATATACGAAGTAAAGTAAATTATGATGATGAACAAGTAAATAAATAAATTGTAAAATTACAAATTATGTGTTTTTATTGCTTAGGCGGAACTTTTATTAAATATTATAAATGGGTTTTCAGCAATCAGATATGGGCTAAACGGTTCCTTTAATGATCTCATGCATGGATATCGATTTCCTTGGCTGGAGTTAATATAGTTATGGAAAAAGCTAAATTAGCTCTGACAACCTTCCCTTGACTTCCTATTCCTTTGATATTTAATGTATGACTTGAGGTTTTTTTGGGGTTTATCCACATTCTAACATTCTACAATAACTAAGAGGGTTCTATTTGGGAGTGACCGACTAGGGGATACCCTGAACCGCCTTCTACCAACAACAAATGCAGCTCACGCTAGGGGATGGCGATAACTAGAAAATTAAAGGTACTTGATTTGTAGATACTACACTGGAAGTTAGATGTCAAATTTGGTGACTCCAGCTCTTAAAACCTAAGAGATTTGCTCGAAAATCAGGATTTCGATATCGATTTTTATCGATTGATTAATTATTGAATAGTTATTGATTATCGGAAACTAACTGGCACTGCGCAGGCACTAGATAGACCTGTGCTCTTACGGGTTCTGAGATCGACGCGTTCATACATACGTACGGAAGGATCGACAGACGGACGGACAGACAGACAGACATGCCTGAATTGACTCAGCTGTTGATGCTGACACAGAATAAATATACTTTATGGGGTCAGAGATGCTTCCTTCTCTCTGTTACATAAATTTGCACAAAACTATTATATCCTTTTACCCATTTTTAATAGGTTCAGGGTACAAATTCGAATAATTAAAGGTTCGACTGGTGTGGAAATCGCCGAGATTTAGCAATTCTTAAAGTTAGTTTAAAGAGCGAAGCTTTTAATAACCTATCAGAGTAAAGCCGAAGCTCTATTTTAACCGTATAAATAAAACAAGAAACGCAACGTTTTAGAAAATGGAAGAGACCTAAACATATACAAATTGAGCTTAAGTCTAGCTGGAAGTGCATTTTGTAAGTATTTCTCTTTTGGCAAAGCTAGAAGTAAGTAAATTGATTTGAATAATTAAATAGTTGTATTTAAAACAAGTGCAATGCAAGCATAAGCATTTAAATCATTAACGTTTTGTTTGAACATAAATGTGAACAGCTATTTGGACCAATAAACCAGCCCGTAAAATTTATTGAGTCTAGTTTATTGAGATTTTCCTCAGCTTCAGTTGCAGGATGCAACATGCAAATTGCAAAAATCAAAATCAGAATAGAATTTTTGTACCTATTTTTGCATATTAGTTGCCCCGAAAGAGCAGCACACTAACATGCACAAACGCACACACACAAACACACGCACACGCACACAACCCTTTCTCCTACACGATTTTTATCCGCATTCTCGTTCAGATTTTCGTCCCGTGTGTCATTTCCGTGCAACGTAACTGAATTCGGTTATTGCTTCCTGCACTGTTGCAGCGCTGTCATTTCCGTTGCTGCCAAACACACACACACACGCACATACAAACATACCTATAAACGCACGCACACATGCTTTCGGGTCGAGGTCATTTGGTAAAAGATTTTGGGTCTATTAATTGACGCTTAAAATTTAGGTACATTTTGGTCGACATTCAGAAGTTCGAAACGCATATTTGTTTTTGCCAAAAAATAAAAAGTTTTCACTTTTGTCGCACTTCCGCTTAAACACACACACACACACACCTATACACACACATGCAAATGAAAAACCGCATTCATTTCCGCAATTTCATTGAATTACATTTAATTTTTAATGTTCTGCTTCAATTGTAGTTTAAGCTGTGCATGTGTCGTTGTGTATGTGGTCAGATATTTGTTTCTAATTAGAATTCACAAAATGTGTGCAACATTTTTGTCAGCTATTTGACCTAAATGGCAAAATTGAATATGACTGATTCCATTGGTGGCGATTGGAATTCTCAAAAGCGAGTTGTGGCAACTTTATGAAAACGATTTACGCTCTCATTAAGCGCATTTAGCATACTCAGCTTACGGTGCAACCCATTGACTTGCCATTTACCCAGAAATTTTCTAAACAATTACGTGCCTAGTGAGCTCATAAAAACTCAAATACCAAAAAACAAGCTGACTGCATCCAGGTCGGTCAGCCGCCAGGCTTGGCAATTACTAATTGCCGGACTACGAGCACGTTGCCCGACTCCGTACAACAATCGGTTGGAAGGAACAGTGGCAACTGTTGGCCTCGTTTTTTGGGCTCTGTTGCTCTGCTCGACTAATGGCCGTCATTCGCCTTTGCAGTGACCCCTAAATAAATGGACAGCAGGACAACAACACCTGCCGCCTGGCGTTCAGATGCAAAGGACAAACTTTTTGTCTCAACTTTTTGTGCCCTTTTATACCCTGTAACAATTAAATAAGCATAACAAAAGAGTATTATATAGATTTTGACTTAGCATGGCACAGGCGAAAAGGAGAGAAAGAAAGAAACGCTTTCTTTTCACAAAAAAAGTAAAGACCTTCTGTTTAAATACACGTGCAACATCTTTAATTTTGTATTATTGTTAAAGGGAGAGAAAAAGCCTCATTGTATATCAATTGTAGTAAAAGCAGCGAATAACTTTCGAAAAGTAATTAAATTAAAAATAAAATTTGTAAATACATTTGCTACGCTAATTAAGACTAATTACAGGATACCTTCAAGTGGAGCAGCCTTTATTTTGTAACTAGGTGTGTGTTTGTATGTGTCAAAGTGTCTCTTCTAATGACACGTTGCTGTGGCAGACAACAGCAGACAAAACTACATAATTTTCAAAACAAGAACAACAGTGGACAGACCAGTTACTCTTCTGCCTGCTGTTGTTGTTGTTGTCCGTCTGTTGTTAATGGCGCCGAAAAGTATGCAAAACAAACATTGGCCAACAGCCTGGCAGACAGACAGGAGAGTCACAGACCAGAATGAAGTTGAGCTTGATGCAGAGTACATGACATTTAATGGTGCCAACTGTTGTCTAACAATATGCCTCCAGGCCGGCCACTCGGTCATTGTGTCAGCTTGTCAGCTACTTTGTTCTGCCCGAGACTCAGACTCACTCATATTCAGTTCAGCTAACTAACATTCATTCGTTATTCACAAAGTTTTTTACGCCTTGACAGACCAAATAATGCACTTTTAAATTAAAGTCTGCTGCGATTGGATGCCGCAGCACGACACAGCTGCAACTGCAACAGGCAAAGCCAGCGAGGTCACGTGCCTCTATAGCTGGTTGGCTGCCCAAGAAAACAAACCGCCAACTGACTGGGCATAAACTTTGCCAACTAAAACAAAAGCCAACTGTCTCAGCACTGTCAACTTGGTGCTCAGGTGGCACAACGGGGAATGCAACGACCAACTGGCAACAACAGATGCCTCTTGTGGTGGGTGAAACAGGTTCACTGAAGCTGACATTGAACGGCAGGTTTGTATTTACAAGTGATTTCTACTTAGTAGAAACTTAAACTATGTGAACTATTTAATTAAATGGATGAAAAGGATGAATCCCTCTTAATTATATCAATTTTATTTTGCACAGCAATCATAAGATGAATTTTATAGGGTAGATAAAGCAGAACTCTATTAATTTATAATCTTTTTTCCCCTTATTTTTTATATTATTTTATACTGAATAAATTCGCCTGTTTCTTATTATTCGTAAATCTATACAAAAATGAGCTTCATTTAACTTTGGCAAATATTTAGTCAAATGTTTTGATTGCTTTAAGCTGCAACACCTTTGCGTACAACAGTGCGTATGATTTGTATTGGTTGGTTGTGCGTTGTGTGCCGTACGTGAGCAGCAGCAGAAATCAGCCTTGGGGCTATAATCAGCAGCAGCGACACACGCATAAATTATAAGCAATACACTGTGCTACTACAACTACAACTACGTCAACACTGCAGAGCGCAACACAAGCGAATGGCTTTGGATGGTTGAAGACGGAATCGTGCTCGATTCGTGAATGCCAAAATACAAACTCTCATAATTTCCATGTCAGTCTGGCTGATTGACGATGACGCTGACGGTGACGCTAACGCTGACGATGACGATGACGAAAACGACGACGACGACGAGGATGTTGTCAATGGCTGCTCTGATCAGCACGAAGCAGAGCTTCGATGCTATGGACGTTGACACCAACCTCCAGCCGCACAGTTCATAAACCAGAACAGAATAGAACGCAGCGGAGCGGTGCTGTGTGGAGTACAGACTAGTAAAACCTTTTTGGAAAGCAATGACACATTTTGATGGCACTACAATCACAACAGCAACAGCACTAGCAACAGCAGCAGCAACAACAACAACTGTTGCAACTGCTGTGCGGAAGCTGTTGCAGCATACAAAATGCCAAAGGTGAACGAGCAACTGAGATGGTGACAATGAAGGGTTATGGGCGCGTGGGCGGTTCAGACATTGAGCCAGCCGGAAGCAAATCCCGTGCAGCAACAGCAACTGCAACAGCAGGAGCAGTGGCAAATGAACTTACAGCATTTGTCAAAGTTGCATCAGTGAAAAA